AAGGAGATATTCCAAGTTCCTTGAGAACTGAGACTATCCATTGAGCATTTGTTTCACAAAAGGCTTAAATGAATGAATGACAAATGAAAAAATAATAGACATTTACAGTTAGATCAACTGAGAGAGAGAGAGAGAGAGAATGTGTGGAAGGCAAACATGTTTGCCTATGGGTGAGTACCAGTCAATGATCCTATTTTCAACTTTTTTTTAGAAAAGCCAGTTTTCCAGATGATTTGCCATTCTGCACCATATTGGGAAGTGTGGAAAGGCCCTATCCAGTGACATTTTTCTCTAATTCTAAGAAAGCACACCATCTCCACCACCCCCCTTTGCGTTGCCTTTGAGTTGATTCTGCCTTACAATGAACCGATAGCCCATCCGGCAAGGTGCCCTGGGCTGCTGAGGCTCAAATTCCTGACAGAAGCAGACTGCCTCACCTTTCTCCCACAGAGCTGCCGCTGGGTTTGAACCACCCACTTTGCCCACACTGCAGGCCCGCACTGGACAGATGGACTTGGAAGGAAAGAGAGAAACCCTTGTTGTTCTTTAAAAAGGAAAAAAAAAAAAAAAGGCCTTATCATTTTCAGATCTATGTTAGCGCTTCCATACTTATTTGATGTCTTTTTTCACAGATGAAAAATAAGGATTGTCCAAAAAGAGAGTAGGGTGGGGGGAAATGAAAGTTATCCTCCAAACTACATACACCTCTTGGAAATACTTGTGCCAACTCTGAAGTGTGCTATTTATGCCTCAGGAAAATGTAGTCTCTTGCAGCACAATTTATTTTAAGATGTTTTCTGTTCAAGGAGAGAAAGTGAAGGTAGGACACTTAAAAATTATGAAGATTACACCAGAACCTGCAACAATTTAGCTGGGATCTGCATGTGGTGTGTAGCTGGACCGGCATTAAGTCATCTGCCACAAAAGCAATGGCCTTCAAACATTTCAGAGGGTTTTCCCAATAATTGCTATAACGTCATTAAGAAAATGTCGACCTGCATCCAAGGCCATCACTCAGTCATTCGGATCAGAGCTGAACATGTACAATGCCACTCAGCCATAGAGAGAACGGAAGGCTATGGCATGTCACACCACAAACAAACCTTGAAACATGAGGCCGAGTGAAAAAGATCAATCACCAAAGGGCAACTAATGTATGATCTCACCTATGTGAAAAAGGCCCAACATGACAATGTAATCGACGTCACTGAATTGTTCGTGTAGAAGCTATTGAGTTGACAAGTATTTTATTATATATGTTTCACCATCATTTTAAATATGCACTTGTATTGCTGGACAAAGAATTCAGAAGTGTCAAAAGAGGGTTCTGAGCACTTCCATGGAGCAGGGCAGGCAGAGGCTGGGCAGAGGTGCTGTGGAAGGCACCTCATGCTATGTATTCCCCGTGAACAATCAGAAGACACTTCTTACGGAAAAAGATATTCTGAATTGTAAAAAGGGTCCAAAGTAGCAGTCATCGGGAGGTTGGAGTGTGGAAATCGAGAATGGAAGAATGCTAATGACGGAGGTGATGGACCAGAACAGGGGGCGGCACAGCGGACAATGCCCTCCGGTGTGCATATTTCTGACTGATTTCCATTTCCAG